TGAGGATGAATTCTAATCTTAAAACATACCAGCCCTAAACCCAGAGGTTTCAAGATAGCCCAACCAGGTGCAACCATGGCATCTACCCGATTTCCTTGGGGTCATCCAGCATTGAGACAAGCAGCCACAAGGCCTCCACGTGCCGCTGCGGAGGTGGAGTCCCGGCACCCAGACGGTGCCCCCGGACACCTGGGGCACCCGAGCCGCGCCCCCGGACACCTGGGGAACCCGAGCCGCCTCCACCACCAGCACCAAAGTGCGCAGCTGGGACCCGGGAGGGTGAGCAAAACGTGTACCAAAGCCGCTGAGCTGCAATGCTCATAACGGGATTAACAACCCATTAACCTCCATTAAGAAATGTAATCCAGTTAGCCCAAGAGCTTTTTAATGCAGAGAGCCAGCTGCAGCTCATCCCCTCCTGCCAGGAGGGAGCCGGGGCTGCCCAGCCCACCTGGAGAAGCCATCCCCAGGTACTTTTTGCAGGTGCTTTTCCTCCCATGACAGCCCCATACCCACCCCGACTGCCTCAACCCATGACAGCCCTCCTCTTCGTTTGCAGTCTATTTAATTAATAGGGAATTAATGACTGGAGCATACCCTGCCGCTATGTTAGCCTTTCCCTGGCTGGGGTCCGTACTTTCAGAGATGCTCGTGGACAGATGCTGCATCCCCTCTTGGCTCTTGCTTTGAGGGTTTGAACACTCACATTTTTCATTCCCTCTGTCATGCCAGGCTCCCTGTTCCCCAATCATCCCCGCAAGTTCTCTCCCTGTCTGAGCGTGTCCTCCCGGGAGCCAGTGGGCCAGAGCCCTGTTCCAGATGAGGACTCAGCAGGGCTTTAGGCAACAGTATTTATATCTCCCTCTGTTGAGTCAAAATCTCATTTGATATATCCTAGGAATGTATTTGCCCTTTTCAGATCCTCATCATAACGATGACTCACAGAATACATCTTTGATACCAATGTATTAAAAGAAAAAAAAAAAAGAAAACAAAAAGTTTCTTTGACTGCTTTGTGACTATTTTGGTTTTTAAAAAAAAAAAAAAAAAATTGTCAGCTAACACATCCAGGACGGAGGATCTGCTGCTATTCTCCAGTCTGTATGTACAGAGTTAAAGTTCACCGTGACAGTATAGTGCGTGGTCATACCCTTCATCTACCAGCATTACAGACAGCTCTGCCAACAACCAAACCCAACCCCCTCAGACGCCAACCATTCCAGTGCTGCCAAAATAAACGTACATTTCCGTGTGACCCAGAAGATAGATAGATGCAGGCATGCCAGCACAGCTCCAACAGCCTTGCCTCGACAGTCCACCACCTTGAACTCTTCTACATGCCCCAGGCTGGCCAGCTTCGCGTACTGAAGACGTAGCTCAAACTGCTCCATTTTAATGTTTGGTTATTTTTATCTGTTGTTCCTGGTTTGGCATCCTTCCCAAAAACATGTCTTTCTCTAACCAGGGTGAAAGCAAACACAGGCACACAAGCAGTTAACCAGTCACAGTAAGATGCTCCAAGATCTGGTAAGATGGGTCCTTCCCTTTACTCTATCAGGCTTTGGATAATGCCAAAAACTTAAGTTACACCATCTTCGATGGCCAGGTGTAAGAGTCCCCACAAGCACTGCATGTTCCTGAGCCTGCCTGCAGGTCTCACTGGCAACCTGCACACTACCTTGTACAAATTCTCATCAACAACCCTTGGAGATCCTGTCTGAGCCTGCTGGCAGCTTCCCAACCACCTCCTCATCGTATTAATGACAGTCTAATAGTGTAATTGGGCTAAGGCCTGCACAGTCTTTCAAATCCCTTGATGTAATGACTAAAAGCACTTTCCTGCAAGATTCTTCTCCCCTTTTTTCATCTAGTAAGGATAAAATGAATCTCAAGTGTACTTGAAGAGCCTTTGTAACTCTGCAGCAAACTAGCTGAGATTTTACGGGCCCTAACAAAGAAAGAGTACACCTAGCAGTCCTCTAACAGGGCTGGGATTTATCAATATACGGATGAGATAAATTGAGTTTATGAGAAGCAGAATTCTCCAAGGGTACTTCCAACAAATTTCAGAAAAATACTATTTTGAAGTAGCTGTAGCTTTACTAGGAGGAAGAGAATTACTCCTACAGGAGATGACAATATGGGTATACAAATAATGTCTTCCGTATTTTTTTTCAGTAGGCAGTCAGCAACATTTCTCACCCCTTACTCAGAACAACCCTCTCTGCAAGTAGAAAGATCACATGTCCTAGAAACAGATTAAATACTCCGTGTTCAAGAAGAAAGATATTTAAAGATGTCAAAAAGTGTGTCTTTATCTCCTGGCCAGCTGTTGGAGCAGGAGAAATTATGTTTAGCTCTGTCTCAAATCCAGAGATAAAGCATTTCCTCCTGTTGGCCAGTCACATGATCCTCGGTCCTACTGCTCTTGACTTGCACACACGCCAAAGCACCTTCTGCAGTCATGAATGAAAAACAAGTCTCTATCCAGCACAATTGCATATACAGCCTGTAGGGCATTTCCATGACGACACTTGCTGAAAATGGGGTAAATAAACCTTTTGATGCAGGAAAAAATATCACAGTTATCAGGTTGATCTTCTAGCACAAACTTTTTCATCCCCAGCCATGGAAGAGAGGGCTTTTTGTCAGTGTCTCGTAACTGCACGCAGCCAAGCATGCTGCCTGCGTAGCACGTTAGCTACTGGCCACCAGAAGCTAAATGTAAGCCTTGAGTTTTCTTTTCCCCCATCCTTCTCCACAGATTATGGCTGCAAAACATAGCTAGCTGGTACCTCTGTGAAATTATATCTCCTCCTGTACTCCCTGGTCACATTTGCTTAACACTACCCCATTTCCAAGTATCTTCTAGTACTAAGACCAGAAGTGTGAAAGACATTGATTTGGGATCACGCTACACCACATTGGCAATAATACACAAAAATATGAAAAACAGCCAGAGGTGTCTGAAAAGATCGGTTGTGATAAACAGAGCCATTTGCCCTTAGATCAAGCCCTCATCAAAAGTGGCCTCTAGAGTTTTTGCAGTGGCATCATCACTGTGAGGTGGAATCAGGCCATGCCCAAGGGAAAGTGAATGCATCGCAAGCTCCTGAAAGGAACCGAAGAGTGGTTTTGCTCAGGCAGCACCGAGGATGGGAGTTCAGGTCTCCCAGTTCACAGGGCTGAGAGGATGATAGAGACTATCACAAATCAAAAACAGGCATTTTAATCACTGCATCAAGCAACAGTGCTGCTTTTGGCATTCTCAGTGTAACCTGCACATAGCTGTAATAGGAGCAAATAACAGGTCCTAGGGTACCTGTGTAAATGTCTTATGGAAGTAGTTGTTGATTCATCTATAAGCAAAGTATCATGGGAGTTTCCATTTTGAAAGTTGATGCATTTTAGAAAGCACAAAAGGAAGTGTCCCCAAAAAGACCTCTCTTTCAGCCATTGTAAACATTTTAAAAAAACGCTAATATTTCCACTGCATCATTTATTTCTCAAAGCTTGAGATCCAAATGGGAGATGAAATTCTAAAATGGAAAGAGTACCAAAAGCTTGGGAACCACAACTTAAAACAACTTTTTATTTAAACAGCTCAGTCCAGAATCGGTTTCTTACAAAAAGAGAACAAAAGTCCGCTTATGTCCCCCTCTCCTCACTCATCTGTGGAAATCAGTTGCGAGTCTTGAAGAAAACACACACACGCACACGATTCCTGAGCAGCCAGGCTCAATCCCTGGCAGTCAGCACAAGCTTCACCCTCCACTGAGATAAGAAGCGCGGGCCATGGAGCAGGTCCTAAGATTTAGCAGATGAGGCCAGAGATCAGCATGCTCAGGCAGATGTGCCTAACAGGCAATACACACCTCCTGGCAGATAGTTATACTACTTAGTTTCAAGGTACTGACAAAAATTGGGGGCTCTCCCTCCTCCCTCCCACCTCTACAAAACACCAAGATCTATCTGGATCTTTTCTCCTCACTGCCAAACTGAATACCAGAGAGCCAATTTGCGAGTGACCCAAGTAAGGGCCAAATTTTGCCAGTGAACCAACTCCTATAAATAACATACTAAAATTCTTGGAGAAGGAAGACCGATTGTTAAAAGCACTCCCCAGCTGCTGAGAAGTTAGTTTTCACAACAGTTCTGCCTTGTGGGCAGACAACCATTATCTGCTTTTTAAACAAAACAACTGTGGAAGCTGACATGCTGAAACAAAGCAGTATGCTACTTGCCCATGGCCACTCAGTAATCAGCAAAACCACGACTGCAAAATCTGCAGGCTGCCAGGTGTGTGCTGCTCATCTATCACGCTGTCAGATTGCCTTCTCATCCTTTTGAGATGAAACGCACTGGAGTACAGAAAACTTGAAGTCTTTTATTTTTGAAAACTCAAAAAATAATACTTGATTGCTTTTTTTTCCTTTTTTAATTAAAAAAAAATCTCTTAGCTACCTTCTCTTTGCTGTCACCATTACACTTTAAAAAAATCCTCAATACGCCGCTTTTTGGGGGGACTCACTGAACACGTCTCTCCCTCTGTATCTTGCAAGGCACTGCCAGAGTCAAACTCACAGCAAGCATCAGCTGCCTCCAAAAGCACAGCTTCATCAGTGTAATCTTTGCTCTCAGAGAAGGTCCTCTGGAAAAGGTCATAGATGGTCTTCTGCTTTGGATCTGGCTGAGAAATTAGAACAGGCAGAATCCGCATTCACATTGTCATATAAAAACAAAGTGAGCAACAATGAGCAACAATCAAAGGGTACTCCCCCTGAGACAGTGCACGTGTGTATATCTCATATGATATATGCTATATATATACATAGATCTCAGAGACATATATATGCTGTGGAGGCTATCATATCTCCTTGCATGCAGCAGGTTTGGGAACTCTCTGTGGAGAGTCCAAGTCAAGGCATGGATCGTGGGAGGAGCTGGAGAATCTGGGCTGTGGCATTAAAGGCAGAACAGGTGTAAGGTCAGCCTGCCAATCACTTGCCAATCTAGATGTACACAGGCCAAAGCCCATTCAGCCTCTCCCAGGGACCATTGATATTCTTTCAGGTCAATTACCTTAGGGCAGTAATTAGTGGATTCAGCTGTTTTGGAGAAATTGGTTTCTGAAAGACCAGCTTCCCCCAGCACTTTGATTTTCTCTTGAATCATTGGCCTAGGAGAGATAAACAGGTATTACTGAAAGGAAGAAAATATCATGCAAGGACACTGTGTCATTTAATATGTGTAGATGAAAAAAAGATATAACAGGGGTATAGAGATGGCTTTTCTACCAAAGCTTGTTAGTTCCTTAACCTGTCCTGCTCATGTTTATGATGACTGTATGCTGTCTTGGGATATCAATCAATCCAATTTAAATAAGTAACAAGAGGAGGATTTCAGGCTATAAATATCTGGAGAACACACATATCCAATAGGGAAACTAGTTGACTGAGGCAACAGCAATGGTACGAAGTCAGAACAAGACGACGCAGCTAAAAGGAGTCCCAATAGCCTGTGTGTTCAGTCTCCAAAGCAAGCAATAGAAATCCCCACCAACAGATAACATCAGCATTTCTAGGGTATCTCCCAATGCACTGCAGGAGGAAGAAATCATCACTGGCCCAAGAGGCCCCAAATGCACCTGCAGACTGGACACTTTGAAAGAAGCAAAGGCCACAGCACAATTAATGCATTTACCAAATAGCCTTGTCTTCTTGTTCTTTTTCTCGCCTTTAAAAAGGATGCCACTGTCCTTCTTTCAACAGCCATATTTCCTTCCCATTAAGCATTAATGACTGCATGGACAGTATTTCACAAATAAAGGCAGAATTACTGTCAACTTTCCATGAAACGTGCGTGATGCATCAGTTTCCAGATCCCTGTATTGTAGGGTTATAATTATTTACCATCATGATATTCTGGGAACTGCACAAGTTCACTTAATTCATTCGTTCCTTTAAACAAGGTAATAAAGATGTAATTTTGGACTTCAAATGAACTAGCTGGTGGATAATTTCTTTTCATCATTTGCAGGTCAGCTCCCTTGCAGTACTAAGGATTCCTCAGACCCTCCCCTTTTCCAGGGTGTCAGATTCACCAGCCCTAACAACCAGGGTCCACTGATAGCTCTCGTTGCAGCCAAAAAGGCTCAGACCACAAGTCTCCAGAGGTGGGTCAGTAGCACTTTAATCCATCTGAAGGGCTCACTGAAGAGCAAGAGGAAAGCAACAGTGCAGTCCTCCTCCACAGCTCCCTGTCCAAGCACTCAGCAGCCAGATTGCTCCTCAGACCTGATCCACAATACGATGAACCATCTCCAGTGTCCGTTGACTTTGCTTGAAAGTACTCAGCACTTCACAGTACCCCAGCACATGAATGCTCTGGGCTGTATCTAAGAAAATTCCTTCTCCTTATACAGAGGCTGTGAAAGTTTTAGATGCATCAACTCTCCCAGAATTTCTCTCAACATCCCTTTCTTTGTCAGATAACTACTTTTATTCCTCCTGCTTGTCATCCACTTAACTATGTTCACTGTGGCCAGGCCATGTCACCAGCTCACAGCAGCCCTGATTGGCAGTTACTGCTCCTCCCCTCACAGGCTGTGGAAATCACCACTAACATTAAGCACCTTATATCACATATGTGACAAACAGTGAAAACAGGCGGCAGGAGAACCAAAGTGTCTTTTTCTCTTCCTACCATAAGTAGTCATCTGCTGTGCCTTTAGCCACCAGGTAGTGAACATTAACAGAGCTGGTCTGTCCAATTCGATGTGCCCGATCTTCTGCTTGAATCAAAACCTTTATGTAAAAACATGACAAAGAAAATAAAGTGAGAGCTGCAACATCTAAGAAATAGCATAAGCACCAGAGAACAGGGAGATTTCCCTTCTTGGTTTAGCGAATATTTCTCATCTGGATCCTGTTAACACCTGCATCCTCAAACACAGACTAAGCCCAGAAGTAATCTGGTGCACCAGGTTCCCAAAAGGCACTGAGCATTTTTCAAAAGTAGAGGGTCAGCATTGATGATGGACCCGTTCAGGTCTTGGCTGGGCATGTTGTTGAGAGCTCTGTCAAGTTAAGAAACAGGAGCATGTTTCTCTTTCACGCCATCTTCTCCAGCCAGCAAACTGTGTAACCAGCCTCACTAGTTCAAGCCCAGGCACCTGGGGGTGCACAGACAAGTAGCCATCAGAGAAAGAAAGAGGAAAAACCCTAGAGAAAGTCCCCTGCCCATTACATCTCCTCCCAAGCACCAACGTTTCTGCTCTCCAGGGAGCATCCAAACCCCATCCCCTCCAGGACGCATACCCCTGGGTTCCAGAAGAGCTCTGCAAACACCACCAGGTCTGCAGCAGATAATGTCAGGCCCATGTTTGCAGCAGTGAGGGACAGGACGGCCACAACCTGCTTCTCCGAGAACTGGAACTTCTCGCACAGAGACTGCCGCTCAGCTGAAGGTGTGGAGCCATCAATGCGAATGTATTCAACATGCTGTGAAAAGGCAGAAGACACTTTTTAGAGGCCTTGTGTCCCCTTTCCCATATCCTCCTTCCATGTTTTTGTGGATTCTGTTTCCCTTCCACATGGCAGAACCAGGAAAGTAAAAAGGCAACAGTTGTATCTTTAAGACCTTTCCTCATCTTTAAGGCAGAGGCACTGTAGCTCAGCATAAAATGTACCTTCCCTCTGTTCACAGCGCATGATTTGCTCCTATGTCCATTGCTCTCCCACAAGCCCTGAGCAACAGGAAGAACAGCAACAAGCTGGCAACTCAGGTACAGTGGAAAGGCAACTGTCTTAATATGAAGCTGAACGCTGTCTGCGTGCTGATGTTAGAGCTGCTACAACATCCCCAACCTCCCTAAGTCTTCCCCTGTTTGTAATGGGAGGAGATGGAATCCTACACATCTCAGTTGCCCTGTGGTAGGCTCAGGAGAGGCATGACAAACTTGGGTAGTGCAGGGCCATAACTCTTCAGTGTCCAACCTCCTTGCTCTACTGGAGGATGCTACCACAGAGGCAGCAAAGTCACCACCGCCACTGTGGTTTACAGTTTGGAATATTAACTTAAACCATCCTTCATCACATTGCCCCAGCATGACCCAGAACTCTTTTGGGGCATCCATGGAAGTCTCTCATGAATAATTAGCCAAACACTTTTGAAGTCAGAGAGATGAGTGGCAGGTCTATGAAGTCTCTCTATAGTATACCAGTTCAAAAATGTAAGAGCCCCACAGAGATAAAGGAATGTAACCAAAGCTGGATTTGTGTTGTTACATTCTCCATCTCTGAGGAAAGCCTGGAAGACAAAGCAGAGATGGCCACGCACAGTAACACTCCTCCAAGAATTCCCAAGCTCCAGAGCAGATGATGGAGATTAAAGAACCTTAAATACAAAAAAAGCCATTCAGCTAATACAACGTGCATCCTGTGAGTCATTCACCCTGACAACTCAGCTCTCTTGCTGAAGGGCGCATTCAGAAGTGCAGCAAGCAGAAATTATCACTGCCACTAACTCTCATAAACTATCTGACCAGCCATAACTCCGGGGAGCTCTTAAACAGCTTTGAAGTTGGAATAGTGGCAACGTTAAGACAACTCAGTCAATTACTTACTTTCTTCTCCAGCTCTGCAACTATTGCATCCAGCACTATCTTGTGATGAGCAAACACCAGAAATTTACGATTCCCACTTTCCAGTAATTCCAGGATGTATTCTCTACATGAAAGAGGAAAAAAAAAAAACCCAAAACTCTACAAATTATGTGCTGAGAGAATACAGGCTTTGCTCACAACAAATTTTAAAGATACTGCTCATCTATACACAGAAACTAGGAAATAGGCTAGCATAAGAAAGTTGCAGTAAAATGCAAGTAGCAAGTCAAGACTCCTACAGAATAAAAAAGACATCGCAGGAAAATCCACTCATTTTTCTTCACCACAGCTGGACAGCTGCCTACATTTATACTTGTGTATCATTGAGAATCAATTTATTATATCCTACTTGAAACATGACATCCCAGACCAGTCAACTGGAAGTCATCTATACTTATTTGACGACCTCAATCACCCTTCCATATTTCTAACTTTTGCATAATCACAATAGACTAAGATAATCTGTATATGGTTATCCTTTCTATGTTTACTTAGGATTGTTTTTATTTTAGAAGAAAAGGTCTGTAAATGCATGGATCAGAGTATCCTAAAAGTAGCTTTTCTTGCAAGGGTTCACACTGACAACTTACTACAGCTTAACAATCTAAATACATCAGCTATTTCTAGAAATTATAGGCTCCTGACCAATGAAAGGTAACAAGACTCCCTTTAAATGCAGTTAAACAGTGTTAATTAAATGAAAACATCTGGCTTTTGCCTGGACTAATAGCAGAGCTACAGAACCCATTTCTATATAGTAACTTGTGACACAATCAGGTCAACTGGAGCCTGAAAAACACCTGTAAGCCTAAAATTTGTAACTAAGTATAGCAATAGCCATCAGAACAGAAGACAGAAATGTCACCTTTTCTTTGGAATAGCAAAGTAGTTGCAAAGATCAGGAATACCAAGTTCTTTGCTAAATACAGCACAGCTTAGGTCAGAGGCAACTGTCAGAAAACACCAAGCAGGATTTCCAGGGCTATATTAAGATGTATCAGTGCTTTGCAGACAGCTCCCAGGGTTTATAATGTTCAGATCCCAATTATGTGACAGTATCACTTACCAAAGAAACTTGGGAGAGAAGTGGGATTGCTGGATTTTAAAGCAAAACAAATAAAGTGAACATTCTGTGTAGCAAGCAGATGCCAACACTCACAATTATTTTATATCTTATTCCCATATTCCATTTAACAAAGGGCTAGTCATTTCAATGGAAGACTTTGTCATCAAGGGTAAGACATGAGAGCTGCTGATGATCATAGAACAGTACCATTAGTTAGATGGTACTGTACCTTAGGAGCTTACAGTAAGTGGTATTTTAAATGCTACTAAACTCCAGAAAAAAAATATGGACTAGTTCCTACCAGAGAGTCAAGTAAACAGCACTTTACGGTTTTATATTCAGTTCACACTTGCAACTGAAATAAAAGGAAGAAAGTCTTCTAACTGTTCACTAACATAAAAGGAAGAAACTCTTCTACGGAAATGAGCACTGGGACTCTGAAGTGCATTTCCGTGCCAAACAGGCAAATTCTGCAGCAAGGTCTGAGACTGTGAAATCACACAGTGCACATCAGATGGTCCTTACATTCCGAGGGCTGTGGAAAAGTAAACTCTCTTCATGTTATTAGCATTCTACTTATTAAAAAGTCATGCTATATGACCTAAAGCAACTCCTTTGCAGTCCCAGCAGAAAGGCTAAGGATGAAAGGGCACAGAAAAAGTCACAGAAGGAAATTATTCCTAAGGAAGACAGAGTTAAAAGCACACCTATGATAGAAAACTTTTGCTACTGAGGTCCCATATGAGCTCTGTGAAGAACCAAGAACTTCAGTAGGGGCTGTGACATCCTTAGAGCATGCTACAACTAAAGCTCAGTCCATCTCATAAGCTTTTTGGTTCAGGGTTCCTGCTGCAGGACTGCAGCGCTCCTCTTCTCAAATTCTGTTGACACTTTTAGATTCATTACTCCCCCTCTCCTTAAATTGAAATAGGGTCCAGACCAGGGAACTTGATCCAAGTCCCAAACACCAAGTAATTTTAGGTGGTTCAAATGACAGTTTAGATCCATATCTGGAATGATATCAGAAGCCTTATTCAGCCTAGGAACTCTGAGAGAAGAAAATGTTTAGTGCATTGTAATTAAAATCAATTTTTTCTAAGCTGGCTTGAGGCTATGCTTCATGTCCCTGCACTGTTATCTCTAAGGCACCGTTTTCCTGTTCTCAGCAGAAAAACATATTTCACTAGGCAAGAATGAAGCAATGACACGCAGCTTACACGACTGAGTGGATTTTAGCTTCTGCTGTTCTGTTGTAGAAGAGGAGAAGAGCTTCCTTCTCCTGTTGTTTCTGCAGAGAGAAAGAAAAATAAATGTGAGTCTCAGAAATGCCTTTTCTCCTTCCTGCTTACAGATCTGGGATGTCTGCTGCAATAAACACCTTGCTAGTAAAAAATCAGCCTAAAAATGCACAACAAAAGGGGGCTGGAGGGGGAAGTCTACTCGCCACTGCATATGGCAGATACTCACACACTCCTATTTCTGATACCTCCCTTCCTACCTCCTACTCAACTCCTACAAGTTGGATGGTAAGCATATCACAAATGTAGTTTTGGTTGAGCAAGCATTTCCCAACTAAAATGGCAAGGAAAACTCCTAAGTTCTTACAGAACTGTATTAGCAACCCAGGTGTCTAGAACATGCATTTGCCATCCATACAACAAAAACAAACAAAAAAAGCAAAAATACACTTTTTACATTTTTGGCTACTGCTGTGTTCACAACACAGCTTCAACAAGGCTGCGTTTGTAGGCTGAATGCAATTACAAGGCAAGACAGAAGAGTAAATACAGAGGCAGGAGGTATGAAAGACAATTGGAAAGGACTAACTGGAGAGGAGAAAAGAGAGAGAAAATGGTATTTCACACAAAGGGACAAAGTAGACCACATAAATCAAAAGGAAAAAATGCTGAGCTGGTTTGATTGTGTTGTACATTCATTTAAAACTGTGCCTTCAACAACCTTCCACTGTGCCTTCACATGAGGTGTGGCTCTGACCTTCCTTGGAACTCAGGGTACTGTTTTTCCACTGATGTTTTTAAATAAAGGTACCTGAAATATCAATGGCTCATTATGAAAATAGTTTCTGACTTACACTTTGATATCCTTTGGCCATCTTCTTTGCTTCAGCTGCCAAGACAGCTTTGGTCTTTGCACTAATGCCTTCAGGAGCCACCACAACCATTTTGCGTTGCTTTGCTGGAAGCTGGGAAAGCACATCTGATTTCAGACGTCGGATCATGATGGACTCTTCCAGCAAAATTTTCAGTTCAATTAAGTTGGATGATCGAGAGTAGTCCCAACCCCATGGCATCTGGGAAAGATCAAAGCAGTTATCAAACTTACAAGAGACTGACTCTTCTGGTCTGCAGGTGATCCAAGAGTAGAATAAACTTTCAAGGAACTGGACAAGGCAAGAACTTAACGGTCAGTAGGAAAAGAGATTTGACAAAAACGGCAATAAGATAGAAGTGTACAAACTAATCCACCCAACATGAGAAGGTTACTTATAAACTTCCCTTCTTCCTATCTACCAGTGCTCTGGGAGGTGCAGGGAAGAGGACTACACAACAGTAGGGATTCCTACCACAGCACTGTGCCCTGGTATTCATCCTCACACAGCAAGGTGTTTCAGCTCTCCACTTGCAGCTTTGGGCAGGCCGACAGAACTCACTGCAGTTCTGTGCACACACATTTACCTCAGCTTTAAGCAGACACACACACAAAAATCTTCTCTAACAGCATGAGGACAAACATCCTTAACCCAAATGCCTTCACAGAGATGTTACACTTGTCTGACATTCCTACTAAATGCTAGGTCAAAATTGCCTGCTTTCCACTGTGACCTGTCTCTTGATCTGCTTCCTGACATACTCTGTTTCTGCCATTACCATGTTTGGCTCAGACTCAAGCAAACCATAAATAAATTGTGGCCCAAAATACATCACTCCAAGCATTGCCTCTTCAAAGCATCATCACTTCAAAGCTCCTCTGAACAAACCCTTCGTTCATTCCTCCTTGAAGCACTTGCCTCTGAACCTGCCCTATCCTCCAAGATCCTGTGTGCAGACAATGTACACCTGTTCAATTAATCTCAGCTCATGACTTCTCCTACTAGTAAGCCCACAGTCTATCATTTGTTCTCCAGGAAAGAACAAATAAGCTGACACATAGTGCCATTAAAATTGGTACATTCCCCAAAGGAAACATCTTTAAACAACTTTCTCTTGGACAGGAGACCAGTAAGGTTTTTATGCTGACTTAAAGGGTAAAGAGATACCTTTCTTCTGAAGTTTCACAAATAAGTATATGAAATACAGCTACAGAAATACTGAAAACCAAGGGGCAGGGAGGAATCTTCCTCATAGCTCTCATTCCAAGTCTCACTAGCAGTGTCACAAAAAAAAGACAAACCTACAACCTCTGGTCTTGGAACAACAATACAAAGTAACCCCCTACACACATATACGTACACCCTCCTGAATTGCACATAACGGAGATGTGACAAGCCTCAGCACCAACCCATTTGATCTGCTGCTCCACTCTCATTGTGCCACATGAATTGCTAAAATAGATTTAACCTTAAAAATTCATATTTCTTTTCTTTTCCTTCCCCAAGAGAAACCTGCTGCAATACAGAACTGGAAGTAAAACAGGAAAAAGCTTCAAAGTATTCATGGCACCCTCCCTCCTCCTGTACAGCACATGAGACAAAAAACAAATAATACCAGCCATGAGGTTAGTCATGTTACTGACTGTATTAAGGGATGGTGCTTTGACAGAACAGGGATGAGAACATGCCAATGAGACAGAGAGGAGGGATCAAACAGCTCATAGGCAATTAAGACCCCTCTGATATCTGGAAGTGAGCATTCCTACTTCAAGTTGAGGTATAACAGGACAATCTGCAATTCTGTTGCTATGTTTTACTGATATGAGCCATTAAATGACTTCAGATTCTGGCAACTACAGCCACCATTAAAACTCATTTGACTTAATCTACTCCTACATAATTATGGTACCATCTGATTATCTATAGTTGGTTCATTAAAGCAGGAAACAACTCAAAACCTAGATATAAAGCCAGTTTGGATCCTATAGAGTTAAAACTTTGGCTCCGTCAACAGCATGCTGGTATACAGCTAGAGGTAATAAGCCCACCTGGATCTAAGCCAAGCCCTCAGAAAGCCAACATGGGTATTACTGCTCTGCTTCCCTGAAACCAGGAGTCCAATGCAGATAGATCCCTCAGGTCTGTGAAAGCTGGCTCAAGTCGAGCTGGGCTTATTAGCTTTAGGCATGCTGCATGAAAGCTGACAGTGCTGAGCCCCCGTCTTTGTGCCCCCTTTCTGCATTTCTTCAGGCTCTGCGGACCCAATAGAGCAGACGTACAAAACCAAGAAGGACCCACCTGGCACTGCACCCAGCCTCATAAGCCCTCTGCCTACACTGCTCAGTGCGCTGGTAGCTAAGTAGCAGGGATCAACACTGACTAGGCTGCTGAGCAAAACCTGCTAAGGGGCCTGGACACTCTCCTCAGGCTACCTCATTCTACTCACGCAGCCAATGTTTTTCCACTTTCCACTTCCATAACAGGCAAGTGATACGTATGTTTTGTGTCCAGGTAGCACAATTCATTTCAGAAGAGTAACGTCATCATAACTGAAAGAACAAGGCACAGAGCCAATATACTATCTACTGCCACATTAAAAAGCATATACAGGGCAGAATCCCTACAGTATGTTCAGATTACTGTATTTCTTTTACAGTGACTGTTGCTGGAACAATTTGCAAACAAGAAAACATGCTAATTCTGTGCTGCACCTAGCTAGTGATAAAAAAGATTATTATTTTTGGAATTATTAAAATACAGTTTAGTATATCCTATTGTGGAAAAGAAGAGAGAGAAAAAAGAGGGACATTTATTTTGCCAAAATACACGTCTGGCTTTGATCTATAACATTCCAGAACAAATGCATCCAACTGTGATTTTCTTACCAAAGTGTTACAGCATCTTACATGAGTCAGTAAACTTATTACAGTGTTAGCAGAAGCTGCCAAACTCTTACAAATTCAGAGCATGTGCTCAGATAGAAATTATTTAATATTTGCCAACATCACCCAGTTTGAAAAATGAATTCACAGCATGTATTTTGGGAAACAGACTTGAGATATTTTGTAAATAAGCAGGTGACATTTCACTTGCTGCATTTTTAAGAGTACAGATGCTGGGAGGTTCAATTACAAAATTATAAACTTTTATTTTGTATCTTTTCTAATCACATCTGCCAGATATTTGCAATTTTCTGTCATAAAATGTATTATCTTCAAACAGAAAGTTGTCAGGTTTTAGTTTTAAATTGAATGGTTCAGGTTTATCAATTTTTCTTTAATCTTATAATGCAAACATTTATTATTAATATCAAAACATTTTTACACAGCACCTTTCATCCTGACAGATCTCCAAGAGCCTTGCAAAACCTCTCTGGTTCTGTGCAATTCCATCCCCACTTATAATGCTGCCACTTTGAGGACAGAAAGAAGAACCTATTTAAGTAATGACAACAAAAGTACCGTAACAGTTCTTCAGAGAACATGTAACTCCTAACACAATATCAGGTTAGAGCTCCAAAAAAGAACATGAGGAACATACTACAGTCATAAGGGAACAACTATAGTCATCAAAACACCTTTTAATTTACTCATAGCTGAGTGGATCTATGGCAACCCAATATTCAGCAGTCCCATTTTTTCCTCTAATACTACCTACATCTCTTCATTTCCAGCAGCCCCACTTCTCTAAATAACCAAATTCTTTCTAGGTTCACCCTACCCTTTGCTGACATTAACTGTAGCAAAATGTCCCAGGTGAGTGCTAAGAATACCAGTAATGTTCAACTGTCTAGTAGAGGCAGGTCAAACAGAGAAACAAAATTGTACTAGAAACCCTGCAGAGGTTTTGAAGGGAAGCCAATACAGACTGTGACCTCCATGCTGAGTTTCATTGTAGGTTGAAAACTCATTTACTCAGAATACACTGTTACAACCTGGATCGTGCCAAACACAATTTCTTTCTTTTATCCAATTCAACATCTTACCTGAGGTCCATATGCCTCGGAATTGAAGCAACAGCTAGTCATGCAGAACTTTACCCTCAAAGGGTTTCTGAAACTTCAAACCTATTTAGACTCACATGTTGCAATTCAACTTTCCTTTTTACTGCAGAAAACCAATGAGATTAAGCTGCATCTCTTCATTTCCCAGTAGGAAGCATTCTGGACACTGCTCAGTCAGGAATCTTTCAACAAAGATAATGAAGCTCAGCAGAAGATGTGGCCCTCTCCCTCCATATGATTCCTACCATGGATGGAGAAACAAGTTTATCCTCTGCCAGGAAAGCAGTGCTTTGCTAACATAAGACCTTTGCTGTGATCTTCCAGAACTCAAGTTCTGTATCTGTGATTCTGCAAGCTAAATGGCCTTAATCAATGGCATCAGCATATGAGTACCAAAGCCAATGAATCACTTATCTATCTTGCACATTTGGACATACGTAGAACAGCACTATGCTAGCTATGAAAATAAAAGTGGGCATTCAGATCCAGGAAAAAAGGGACTTGAGAACTTTGAGACTGTAATATGAATCTGCTTGATGGAAACGTGGCATATGTTAGCTACCCCAAAAAGAGAAAACAAACACAAAAGTGCTACAAATAACTGTAACTATTTTTATGTCGTACACTGATGACATTCAGTTCTTCTGTAAGTCTTTCTGAGCACTGAAATGGTCATTTGGTGTTTCCAACCACTCTGATGAAAGTTATTGCCCAGTCTTACAGAAAATGAGACACAAGAAGTGAAATGGATTACTCAAGAACAAAGAAGAGCAAGCAAGTTCATGCACTACAGGTCCATGCTCACACTGCCAAGCCATTCTGTGCCACATGCTAACTGCTAAATGCTTGCCCTGGAAGAACTGGAGGGCAAGCCAGATTAGAGGGCTCTTGTTCCAAATCAGAACTCAGGGGAACTTTGGTTCCCCTTTTTGTGTCTATGCAACCAACACAGAATATCCTAGAGACTCCTTGTACAACAGGCAGCAGCAAGAGCTCTTCTTCTAGCAGTGTGTCTTCCAACACACACAGCAGCCCTAGAGATGGCAATCCAAGCACAGCTGAGTCGCCCATACATTGAGAACAAGGCAGACATCTGCCATCATGGCCGCAAATGCTGGCTTCCTGGAAAGCCAAGATCTTGCAGTGGTTGGACTCAATGACTCTGGTGAAACCACTGCTAAGCAGCTGGCAAAGATAAGAAAAGTTAATTTATTTTTAAGATATGCTGAGGACCACATCCTTTTCCTGAACTAGAAGAAGGTGGAATATAAAGATGGACTACAAGTCGTCTTTTTTTTTTTCACTTGCCTGGAGGTATAAAATCCAAAATCCCAAGCAACAGAGGCCTTACTTTGTTAAACAGTCACTAAAACAGACTGGAAACTGGGTTTTTTGGGGGCGTTTTAATCAATTAGCCCAAATCTGCAGCTGCTTAAAGGCTCCACAGTTACTCTGCCCATTTAAAACACTCTGGGGGCAAGTTCTTATCAGAATAGGGCTATGGAGCCTTTTTTTTTTTTTTTTTTTTTTAAATTCAGCTTTTTACTTCCGTGGCTTTCAGGGCAGATTTTGACAAGAAGCTTTACTGACTCTATGATTCATGCCCACCATTGCAGTACCTAGAGCTTCTCAGGTTGAGAGCTTTCAAAACATTACTCTGGAATGAGACTTTCTCAAAAAAGATGTAACATCAGACAGAAGGAAGGAAAGAAAAAGCCTCCACATTTTGAAAAAAATGCAGAGCCCCGGTCTGCCACTTCCCCGATTGAAGTACCTTCCTGGCGTCACAGTAGCGTAGCCCAAAGGAGTGGAACTGCGGGAAGAAGGCTGGCTGGACAGCTGCGATCTGCGTGTAGAGCTCCGCAGGCCGCGACATGGCAGGGGTTCCTGAAAGCAAGATCACTCTCCTTGCAGCCTGGAAAAGCAAAATGGAGCAGTGTTATCATACAGCTTACAATATAAGCAGAACCTGCTAAGAAGTCATCCCCAGTCCTGAAACAAAATCCCAGAGCCACTGTCTAAGCACCCTAAATGGAAGAGTACGTCACCTTCCACAGATACTTTCAGCCTTCGCTGCCTGAAGACACTCAAGGACGGTGCTTAAAACTTCTAGGAAGCAAAACAAACCATATTGTTTCTTATTCATCATCCACATGATGTAAGGGAAGGGGACATCAATTTTTATGACAGTACTTTCTGAATTTGCATTTACTTACTAGACACATTAATATCTTATGCCTGGCTCAACATTTCATTTGGCATCAGATGTCACAGGAAAATGACACACCCTCTCAGGTATACCCTCACCTCCAAAATAAATTTTCTTGTAATAAACCTATCACAGCAAGCCATAAACAGACTGTCTTTCTCACAAAAGCAGAAGAGATCCAGAGAAGTAGGATTTTTTCTTACTTTTTGTCCATTTTTTTTCTTTTTAAATTCTACTAGCAAGGAGAGAAAGATGAAGCTGCCTGAAGTAGGACCAGAAAATGCCCACCTGACAGCCATGGTGAGTCTAGGCACAGCTAGCTGGATGCTAGAACATGAGTTAATAAATATGAATCATGTAAGAAGATTGTAAAAACATGTGTTGTAGGGGAGACAGGAAGGGGATGGGAAACCTGTATCTAAAGTAGGTGCTCCCAAAAAGTGGGGAAAAAAATTACGCTATAGACATAAAAGCCTCCAAGATGCATTTCTACCCTCATACCTCCATTATTATCTAATTCTATCATTAGATGAGAGCTATGAATTTCTACTGCTGTAAATTCACATATAGTAGTTAAATTACAAATGCCTTGTAATTTCCTGCATGGTTTAATGCAGGTTCATTAAAATAACAAAGAGATTCTTGAGTGACATCTGTACCAACAGCTCATTCACATTTAAATGAAAAAGAAAATGAAATTCTTTTATCATTTTGCTGAGATCTACCAGTCACCCAAATCTATTCAGCTGATTCATCCACTTGTCAACCAAATCTGGTGGAAAAAGAGTTCACAGACCAGCTACCGGAAATTAATTTCAGGACTCTTATCAGATATTTATATATAAAAGTTGTAATCAAGGTGGGACCTGCCTTCTCCCTCCATCCCTATTAAACAGATCAGAAGGAAATGTGATCGCCACCAGGATCAGACAATTCCCACAAACATTTTAAAAAGCAGGATATTTATTGAACTAAATAAGAGGAGAGGTCAAGCCTTTGGACACATCAGAAGGTGAGAGTTAGTTCGCACAAGACGGAGGTGCCTATGCTACTCAAAAGAGGGAGGAGTCACAGAGGCCAAAGATACCAGATCCCATAAGGAAACAAAGTGATAAAGCAGAAATTAGGTCAGTTTTTAGAATTAAGGTAACAGTCGAGGACAACTGAGCAGAACCTAGACAATATCCGATACCTTGCAGAAGCCTTTGAGGAATAAACTGATACCACCCTGAGAAATCTGCTAAAACACAAGACAAGCCAGTCCCACATGTGCAAGAAACCTCCAAATTAAACTTTTTCCTCCTGGACTAACAGAAGGCCACTGCTAGAAAAAAGACAACATGGAGGTCATGCAATTACAGACAGCTCATTTCAATTAACTCTGGAACAAGCTAAAGCAAGAAAAGTTCACTCAAAACAGATGAGGGACACATTAAATGCAACATAAACCCAACTCTGTGGAAAGGTTTTACACCATTCTCAAGGCTCCTCTCCTCTTTGGAGGGTGCTCTCCAGGAGCCACATGAGATGAGGTTGGAACACTAATTCCCCAGTAGTCAAAACAGTCAGTCAGGCTTCTTCCCCAATCCCTAAATAGGTTATCAAAAGAGAGAATGATGAAGTTACAAGTTACTTGAATTCTAAACTTATCCAGCTGCTGCTTTGCTGTGCGCAACTTAATTTTGAACAGATAGGGTATCTAACCACTGCAAGCACTTACCAAGGGCTGTGATACATCCTCTATAATTAACCATTTTAAACAAACCAAGGGGTAAAAAAGGACAAAAAAAAGAACCCAACAAAAACCCCAAAAGACACTAGCTACACAAGACCTGTGAAGAACTTGAAGAAATTAATTCCAGAAAACTGTGTGGAACATAGGTGGTCTAACTCACTACCCCAAGGGTCCCTTTCAGTTTTCAAATCCATGACAGAAGGAGCCCAAGAGAAAAAAGAAAAAGAAAAAAAAAAATCCTAGGAAGACAAGTTTCCGAGTGTTGAAGGCTTACTTAAATTCTGGATGAAAGAAATGGCTTTGATTCACATCTCTTTTTCTAGTGGCCACTCATTTTGAATAGACGCCAATAAAGATTTGCTCCTGCAGAGAAGTCTCTGCCCATCACTGTTTAATTCTTGTTTCCTGATGAACCTTCTGTGCTGTCAAGAGTGAGAGCTTACCCTTTTTGTTCTGAGGTCTATAAGAATAATATGGAACCACAGCACAGAAAATAAGATTGCAGTGATCAGCAAGGACTTTCTAGCAAAAACAGATCTGCAATCAATTGATATTATTTCCACACAGGAGAACCAACGTTAGCTGCTCATTAGCATTTAGGCATGAAGTTTAATCTTCCCCAGAAGCACTCCTCTCTCTCATGTGTCCTTGTGACTGTTCCTACAGCTACTTTGTGAGATTGCTTAAGGAAACTCTGACAATGATTTGACTAGTGGAGACCTGTTCTGTAGCCCTCATTTACTAAATAACAAAAGACAATTGTGGCTTTGTAGCATTGCACTTGCACACACAATACACCAGCAAGAATTAATTCCACAGCTGTGACAACATTTACAAAAGTCACTTTTGAAAGTCAAAGAACAGTTTATGAAATGGTAACCCCCGATGGCAGCACCCAACTGATTCAAAGGGGAGTAGGTGGGGGGGGGGGGGTATGCCCCACACGGGGGGGGGGGGGGGGTTATGCCACAAACAAATAATTGAACATGCAAAGAGCCTCATTAACATACAATGACTGTCTCTGTGTTAAATGAATTTCACAGCATGAGCTCTGCCATATGCTAACAGACTGACATACTTTTTTAAGTAAGTGTGGCTGGTTCTGGCTGTACAATTACTTGTGTCCCCAGTTTTTGCTTACTCTCTCATTTTGAACTGCTTAGCATAAGAATACCTTACCCTGTGAAATGAAAAATCTGAGAGTGGCCATAATAAAACAATCACCTGATGAAATAGAAGATTTGATAAAGGGAAAGGGTTGCAGCTGTTTTGAAGAGTCTTTTTCTGCACTTGGATAAGACAGATAGGGCTCTGCATTTCATAAGATGATCCTACAGTGGTTATTCCAAAAATATAAATGTCTTTAAGTGACATCTAGACAGAGAATGTGTGTCAAATGGCGATGATCAGCTATGACTGAAGCAAATTACACCACCTCCCTATCTCGAGAAGGAATGGTAATTGGAAGGTAAGAGCAGATCTGAAGATGCAGCCTTAAGGGCCCACAGCTTCTACAATTTCAAGATGAAGTTCCTTCTCTCAGCAGGTGACAACAAACAAAGGCTTATTTATCCAATCCATGTGGATTTGTAATGCCTAAAGACAGGTGCTATTTATTTCCCACTGGAAAGGGAGATTTTTGTGTTTCCTCCTCACCTTCTACCTTCAGCATTGACCTATTTCCCTCTATTATTTTTAAGCATCTCTTTATTAAAACAAGCAGAAAGAGTATTAGATTCCAGCCACACAATGTATTTGGACTTCCGTAATAGAAATAAAGACCTTTAACCCTGCAAACATCAGGATGTGCATCATGCTATTAACCTGAACAGCAGCTCAATAGGAACAATCACATTAGTAATATTACCCAAATGTTGTGGAACAAAGCTCATAGGGAGCACAAGAGGAATAAGACCATTTTATGCCACTGGAATCTTTGATTAGATACTACTTTTTATTTCTCAGTTTCTAACCTAGTTCTTCACTAAAAAACTTACTGTCGTGCTTCCAAAAAACTCATCCATGTTCCATTGGGACCTTGCCCAGTTTCCACTGCCTTGCAATTACAGAAGAACAAAGACCATGCAGCACTTCGGCTGGTCGAAGGATGTAGAATCCTTTTCACTCCAGTTCCCAAGAGATCCCACCACAGATCAGTGAAAAACTTCCATTCTGTTGTTTCATCTTCATGTACACCCCTGGGGCTTTGCTGTTTTATGGATATTGGTAGCATGTATACTCCCTCTCCTATGTTCATGTCTCTGGCCCAGTCTAATCTTGGACAGAAAACCCAAAATGCTTACGAAAGGCATAACACCATGATACTTTCTGCCTCCGAGGAAGGCAGATGCAGAGCAGAGGCAAAGGGAACAACCAGTATTGTCAGTATGCCCAGAAGAACTTAGTCCCTTAGTCATGAGACTAAAGAAAACAGCAAGGTGACAAGCAGGTCCTATTACTGATTGCCACAGTTCTGGATTAGGGGCAGAGACAAGCCAGACCTGACAAAGGTGACTCAACCAACACCCAACACTATGAGACTACTCTCACTTTGACATGCATGGAACAAGACAAAAGGACCCCTTTGAACACAGGAACTTCTAACCCTCTTGAGTACCATAAGAGATGCTGAAGGTGGGGACAGATCTCATGCAGCTGCTGGCACAGACTGGCCAGCGCGAAAGCTGGCTGAGCTTGAAAGCAGGATTTTTGCCACATGCCAAAACATCAAAGGACTATTTTCTACTATGGCTTTCAACCCATCCGCCTCCATAATTTTGCAGGGATGCACACAGACTGTCTACAAACTCTGCCACCTGGTTTCATGTAGGCAGATGAAGCATTCTCCCCCAGGCAGAAGTCTGCACACCCACAAGTTTACACATCCACTGGGAATGCGAAGGGAATAAGAAATCTGGCCCAAACATTTTGCTGCTGCTATTTCAGCTCACGTTATCCTACTGTTTGTGTAATTACAAGTTCC